CGCTCTTCCTTGGCTTTTAAGGGAGTGCCCTTTGCCGTGCTGATGTTGCTACATGCCTTACTTCTTGCCTATTTCACACTGCGAATTTTTTCTAAGCTTTATACTAAACATTAAATCTGTTACGAAAAAAGAACTAAACAAAATGAACACAAAATGATGAGCTTTAAAAAAGGACTCGTAACTGGAAAAACCGAATGAAAAAAAAATGTTAACAAATACTTTTTCACACCCAACCCAGTTCTGCGTAATCAGAATCAACGTTGAGTTTAAGCAAGCGAATGAGCCAATTGGAGTAAAGTGCCATGCAGATTTAAATTTTTTCCACTTGTGACGAATGCAGCTATCGATTTTTTTTGCATGCTAGCATGTTTGTTAACATTCGTGTCAGTCAGCTGTTGGCTCTCACGCTGGCCAATAGAATGTCCCTGCCTATTCGTGGCAGCCAGCTATTGGCTCTCACTCTGGCCAGTACAAAATGGCCGCAAACTGCATGACAACTACCGTAGAAGCATGAAAAAATCGATTATATCCACTATCGATAGGAGTTGGGAAATGCAAAGTCGGTCTTGGCCTTCTTGCTAACCTGGAGGATGTGCATGTAAATTTTGGTGCAAATCCGTCGAAAATTGCGGCCGTGCATTCGTTACACACACACACACACACACACACACACACACACACACACACACACACACATCCAGCCTTTTATAGATAGCGATTTCTTTTTCTTCTTCGTTCAATCTTTTGTGTAATTGCATATCACTCCTTCATTTTTCTTCTTCTTCTTCATCTTCATTCTATCCATTTATCACTCCTTTATTCAATCTTTTGTATATTTATCGTTCTTTCTCTCTCGGTGTAATTTCTTCTTCTTCTTCTTCTTCTTCTTCTTCTTCTTCTTCTTCTTCTTTCTTGGTGCACATATTTATCACTCCTTCCTTCTTCTTCTTCTTCTTCTTCTTCGTGAATCACTCCCAAAACTCATCTTTCCTCTATTTTTCCAACAGCCGCTTCCTATCACGTTGTGTCTCCATTATTAGTAACCGCAATAAAACTGAGAGGGGAGCCATATTAATTTAGTACCCGATGGTGGGAGTGGGGGAATATATGTCTTTTAAAAAGGTGATAAAATGCAACATAAAAAAGAAGTTAGTAAAAAATATTCGTAATGGAAATAATATATTTCATTTCACTTCAACAGTATTCCTCCTAATTGAACCAAACAAAAATGTTTTCTACTCAATCGCCTCTTCGTAAATACATCGAAAAAACTGATACCAAAAGATAAATGCATTTAACAAAATGAGAAATCTTTCTTGAAGCTTTTATTTTAGTTTTAATTTCAAGCTAATGGGGTAAATTTAATATTTTCAATAAGCAAAATCATTGTTATATTTCAAACTGTATTTAAATTGATTGCTACATTTTTTTCTGATTATCAGTAAAATCTATAAAATCGTCCATATTGACAAATCTGTCAACACAACATAATTCCCTTTATTAAAAAAATAGTTAAAAAATAAAATGTACTTTTCTGAAAAGTTATTTGAGAAGGGGTATCCGGTTTTAAGTTTTATTAATCTGAATTGAAAGAAAAATTACTGGCTTTTAATTAAATAAAATATTGCTGAAAAGCATCTTATAAAACGAGAATGTGTGCTTTTATGAGGTGTTTATACATTTATCGATTGTCTGGTGTTTAGTAAAATTTAAATAGAGGGTACATAAATGTAAAAATTACTTGTCGAATACAACGTTAACGCCCGTTTATAACATTTTTAACTAAGCAGAAATCATAAAAATTCAGAAAATGCTTTACTGAATTTTAGATACTCTAGTTTTCTAGCCATATTCACGAAGAAACTTTTTGAGGAAATGTTAGAAAATTATCAATAAATTCTAAATTAACTATATTTACCGCTCTTATTTTTCTGATAATGCTTTGTATGGACGTCCGTATTTACAAAAACCGATACGTTTATACATACATAAAATAGATTCAAAATTCTTTGTAAAATACAGGTTGGGTTCATTGAATTATAGGGAGCTTTTCTATGTTTTGATTAGTAATTGCAGTCTTAATTTATACCAACATCACTTGACCGATACAGATTAATGCAAGATTTAGAACTTTATAAAATATTCTAATTATAATTTTTTAAAAATTGAAAAATTTATAGTAAAAATTCATTATTTATCGAAGGAAAATTCTTTTGAATAATATATTTTATTCATTAAAGCAATTAAAAGTATTTTTTTAATTAAATAATGTCCCAGTTTTATTGCATTTTTACTTTACGATTCAGATTTTTGCTAACCGGCGGTCTTGTTTGACAAAACAAAACAAAAAAAAACAAAAAAACAAACAAACAAAAAACCTCATTATTTAATTTCTCCGCTTACTATAAACATTAAGCGATACAAAAAAGAATTCCTTTAAATTTTATAAAATCAAATGCGTTGTGGGGGGGGGGGAACAGATGTTTAAAAAAAAGTATTTTTACAAAGATTTTCAAAAAAGAAGTAATATTTCCAAAATAATTGAATTAATATTTGAATACGCGCTGAAAGTTTCATTAAAATCCGTCAGTTATCTGATTGTTGCAACAATTTTCAAATCAATGTATTTTTCCCTGCAAAAAAGACGATGAAATTCTGCGTACAAATTCATGGTTCCGAGTTGAAGTCTGAAAAAAAGATTTTTAACCAACATTTCCAAAGGTTCTAAAAAGGATAAAAATAAAATATTTTTTACATAAAAAAAGCCTTTGATCTTTGATCTTAAAAACAGCACAAAGGTTTTGACGATAATTTTTTAGTTTTTATTATATTTTCTGGATTTATTTCGTCATGTATCTTCGTTATTTGTTATATTTTTTTCTTCAGTCATTTTTCTTTCTTCCATTTCAGCCTCTTTTTCTAAAACCCCTCCAAGAACCGATTCCCTTAATATCACACCCACTTTTAAAAGTCCTCTTTCTCATCGACTTCATTCAACGTTGTTCAGTGCGTAGTGTAAGAACGTAAGCCGATCTTAATGATTTTAGTAGCAGTTACGCTAGCAGAGGCAGCAGCAGCAGCCGTCATTTTTAAATCTACAGAAGCGACGTGTTATAATAGCAACATCGGGGATCAGCTGTTTGTAAGAGAAATGTTTTAAGACTTGCTTAAACAGTCCAACGGTAAAACGCTTGACAACTGATACAGATTCTTCTTCTTCTTCTTCTTCTTCTTCTTGCCACGTCTCTTCAGGACATGAGCGATCATAGCTCTCCACAATTTTCTGTTCTTTCTATCCATTAGTAAATTCTGTATTTTTGCTACCACTCCTAATACCGTCTAAAAAGCTCATTAGAGGGGACTATATACTGAATTCTTCTGCCCCTTAGCCTTCAATATCACCTGTGGGTTTCAAACTTTCTAAACCCTCTTTCCTCATTATGTTCCCCAGAAATTTCAACTATGTTTTCTGATGTTAAGTATGCGTGTTCTTTCTGTTTTCATTGATTCAGCAGGGCAAAAAAGGCCAGTAAATTAAAATTATGTAGCGCCAATCTTATAAGTTGAGGGTACCTTGGATACTTGGAGAATCAGTATTCGAAATCTTGGCTTTAAGCTGCAGTCGATCACCGACCTGTGGAATATACGCAACTATCTCAGCCATTGATGAAATCGAACGCTTTTGACAGGAAATCCCAGTTTCCGACAGTGCTTATAATTAAAAACAATAAGATACGCAGAAAAATATATTTAAGTTAGTTTGGCACAAGGCCACTAGTTTGCAGCAGTTAATGTGTATCGAACCTACGACATTAGTAATTGACTATTGCTACAGAATGCAGAGACCAGCGGCAGAATTGTCAGCGATTGGCCGAAGTGCATTGTGGGCAGGGTATTCTGATGGATTGCCTTTGTCTGATTTTGAATATAAGGCCAAAACGGCGCGAATTCGACAGAGGACCGCCAGAATACTGAAGCGTCCAGGGTTAGCGACCGGCTAAGACCAACCGTGGAGGGACGCCTAGCCAACGTTACGACATGCGTTCCTATGACGTCATTCCTCCTACTGCCTTTTAGAATCAAAGCTGCCACCGTTCTCCTAATAAAACGAATAGCAAAAAGAAATGGTCTTTTTCGTCCATACTGTTTTATAGAGTAGTGTGAGGAATCAGAACGGAATGTTATGGTTCTATCCTGCAATTGTATAATCGTATATTCTTCGGTATTAACCAACCTTCGTTTAGTCGAGTAAACGTGAGGATGTCGAACGGAGATAGAACTTACATCATATAGGGAAACGATAACCTAATATAAAGTAATAAAAAATATATCTATTTTTATATCAGGTGTTTTCAAATGTATCTAAAATTCCTTTTCGAAAACTGGGCCATCCTGGGTATGACGATAAACTACATCCGCGTCCTGGGTAAGACGATAAACTATATCCAACAGCAAGGCCTCTGATCAGTTGCTGGTGTTCCCAGGTCTACTCTGACCCGGGATGGTAGCACTTGTTAGGGTCCGAGCTATGGGCAAATGGATAACCCCGAAACTGGGATCAAAACACTATGAATGTGTAAAAATAGTTTTTAATACTAGCAATACATTTTTGGAAAAATATTAGCAGCAATAAATTTTTGAAAGAAAAAACTATTACTAGCAATACATTTTTGGAAAAAAAATATTGCCAGAATACATTTTTGAAAAAAAAAAAAAATATATATATATATATATATATATATATTACTAGCAATAAAAATCTTGTCGGCATAAAATAACCTATTGAGATTGATATGCCGTAAAACAAAACCAATCGAAAACAGGGAACGGAAGACGCAGTTGGAAACAGATTTTCGCTGGAAACTTTTACACACATTAAAAAAAAAAAATGGATGTTCAAGTCACGTAACGGTTATAGGCGCAGAAAATGGAATTGGCAGAATAAATTCAAATCCAGACAAACTTAGTTGTCTTTACTTTCGTACACTTACTAACTTCACCCGAGATCCTGTGAACTGGCTCCATGAAACGAATCTGCCCCATCACGAAAGAACATGGAAAATCATAGTAAGAGCTTCAGTAGGAATTTAGATTCACAAGCGGGTCCCCGGCCACATGTATACACATTTTAGTATAGTGCGATTCGAGTAGTTCCAGGCTGGTTTGTTTTCAGAATTTTCCTTCTCCTAAACATGCTGCCAATCAAGGCTAAGAGGTCCAATCTGTCCCGCCATTTACCCATGGGTGGGAGGGAGAGGTTCATACCTTTCCCAAGAGTATTAGCACGTATTAGGTTGGTGCAAAAATAATGACGTAATGATGTCGTTTTTTGACGTTAAAAAATACGTCTAAAAACGACATTATTACGTCATTATTTTTGCACCAACCTAATAAATGAATGTAATTAACTCGACTGGGATTAGAACTCGGCTCCCCGATTCCTTAATCCGAGTCGCGTATCTATTACTCCACTGTAACTTTCCCATGAAAGGGCATGAACCCCTCTCACTATGGGTTAAAAAGCAGGGAAGATTGGACTCGCTAGTTTCACTGCGTTTCTATGGGAGTCTAGCAAGAGGATAACTTTGTATTGAACACTGCGAGGAAAGCAACGGGGGTGGGGGAGCATTCAACAAACTTTTTCCAAGAAGCCATGGTTTTTAACAGATAATAAAATGAAAAGGGATCTGTGAAAAGCTATGATAGCGTACACAATTTTTTATTACTAAATATCTTTAAATGTTCCAGAGTATTTATAAATCAGGCATAATATAAACTTTAATGAGCCATCTGGTGTTTTATTTTGTTTTTTTAGTCTTAGGTTTAAATATTTTTGAAACGGACATTTTGCAGCATAAGCCTTTTTTATATTGAAAAAGCATTGGGTATCATCTGTGCGTTGATATTAGATTTTTGAATCGGAAACAAGCCGGTTAGGTCTGTTGCGTGGGATGGATTAAGCAATGCCACAGGCGCTAGTGGTCGAGTATTAGAGAACACAACTTAGAGGGATAGACGCTCGCGGTAACGTATATTGAGCTGACTTAACCGGCCTAACAATAATATCTCTCCTGGTCGACATTGCTCTGTACGAACCCAAATTTATAAATGTATGGGTAATTTTAGCGTAAATTAGGACATGTGTGTCGTCAACGAAACTAAAATATTTGCATAAAAGCTTTAAATATTACGTTATCATATCTAATTGACCCAACAATTGCTTTTTTACGAAGTAAAAATAAAGAATATTTTCGATATCAACTATATAGAACAATTTATTTAACAGCTGATGCTTACATTAAATAAAGGCATCAGATCGAAATTCGGTGATGGTTACCCGGATCAATAATCTCCTGATAAAGACCGGACGGTACAACAGTCGAAACGTTATTATAACAACAACGAAGATGAAGACAAAAGTTTGAATAATATAAAAAAAAATAATGAAAAGTGTTCATTGGGGAAGATCAGAAAACATTTAAAGAAACTGTCTATATTTCTGAGATGAGGTATTATGTATAAAGTTACATTATTCGGAAAATTGTCCTCATCTTTGTCGCCATATTTATCACGTTTCGGCTGTTCCAGACCCGGTCAACTTCAGGCGGTTGGAATGTCGAACTGATTCCCTTTAATTTCGCTCACTGGTGTAGACTGTTCTAGTTCCACTTGCCATGTTTAATGGATGTCAGTTATCAGTTATCTCCTGCTAATTTTCCCTCTGAAATTTCTCCACTGTCTTAACCAGGTATTGAACTCACCTTCTTTGGGTCCTGTCACTTGATCTAACCAACGCCTTTATCCACTGTGTCATGTGTGCTTGTTAATTTTAACGCTTCAAAACGAAAATGTTCTGTATTAATCATTTGAGAGACCTCTCTCTCTGCCTTCCTTCAGCATGGCTGATGCTAACCTCCAGGGGAGTAGATATTCGCGCATTATCAGCTCATAAGAAAGTTGCTTTACTGCAGTGGTTCCCAGCCGATTTGAGGCCATGCCACACTTTGGTATGTCTAAAATTCTGGCGCCCGCCACCGTAATATTTAATTCTTACATTTTTAAAGTTTTACTGCAATTCACGTGAAGAAAGCTTAAAAAGCCATTAACTTGGTCTCTAAAAAAGGCTCCAAAGACCATGGCGTCCTTGAAAGAGAAAAATTTAAAAAAGACAGTTATATATATATATATATATATATATATATATATATTTCGAATTCCAGTCAAATCCATTACATTGACTTATGTGCTAAACCCTTGAGAAAGGTCCCTTCCCTATTCTTCTCCCCTCCAGCTATAATCTAAATAGCAAGACAGACCGGGTTCTATATCTTGGTAACTGGTCTAGAAGAAGGACAAATTTGAATTCAAAACCTGCAGAGGTCGTTTGGGGACCTTGTCTAATTTAGTGCACCAGGTCTCTGTATTCGGCCTTCAAAAAGTGTGGATGGTCCCAACGAAAAAAAAACCAAAATAAAAAAAATGCACGTGTCATTGTCGGGCTGTCGGTTTCCTTGACCCTCATACGTCGAAATCGACGATATATATATATATATATATATATATATATATATATATATATATATATATATATATATATATAGCTTTAAAACATATAATAATAAAAATGAAAGACAGAAATCTAAAATATCTGAATGAAAGCTTATTCTGTAGTATATTTTCATCATTTTAATCATGAAATAATAATGCAAATGAAATTTGAGCTCACTAGAATACAATTCATTGTTAATAACTCATTCTCGAATTGCCCCCTTATTCTGTTGGTATAGTAAGCCGAAGGGTGAACATCCTATGCATGCCCCACCAAAATATTAACATACCCCACTGGTGGAACATGCGATTAACCTTGGGAATATTTGGTTTACTGCGTTGTGCTAGATAAATTTTCTCTCCAGAATCTATTTTACATATCCATGTCTATCAATCGTCCATGTTGAGAATATTGCTACCACATATAGTCCGATGATCCTGCTATATATTGTTACTTTTCTACAAATACTCTCAAGGTAATTGTTAATGTAATTGTTAATTGTCTTCGCTATGGTACCTAGACTTTATAGATTTAAGTGCAGTACTATGGCGACAAATCCGGATCAGTTTGCAGTCCAATTGGCGGTAAATATTGATTTTATTACCCGTGCGATAATATCCCTTAAATTTTTCCCAAATCGTCATAATTCCGTGTAAATGTACATGCTGAACTCGAATTAACAATTAAATTATGAAGAAACCTTACCGTTTTGGAATTATCGACAAGAAAAAAACCGGACTTCTTATTGGTCATTTGTCCCCCATTACTGCTATCATGGATCTCGATTCAGTGCGGGATACCTACGCCGGCGTAATAAGAAAATTTACAGACTTTCCTTGTAGAAAATCACTACGCACGGGTAACAAAACCAATATTTACCCAGTTGGCTAGATAGAACCGTAAGCTCTATGCTAACACTTTATTTTCTCCCACATCTCACTTGTGGGACTCTTTCCCGTCTCCATAATTTTCAGTCAAGTTTAATCTTTAAAGATTTAAATGCAATGTCAATTGCTTTCTGCTGACCTGATTACATTTTTTTTTGTTCTAACTCCTTAGTGGTGTCTCTGTTTTCTAGATCTTTCTCACCCTTGCGTCTTAGTGGCTTTAATACCTTGCTTGGAGTGAAATCTATTAACAAAAACTAAAAAAAAAATATTGTCAGAATAAAAATTATAAGAGTCTCACGGTGTTGAACAGTTTCATTCGAGAATCGATTTTAAGATGCTTAGTGAGATATTAAAAATGTCCAACGTAGTTAGACATTGGGAATAGCTGAATGTCATTTGCATTCACTGTTTTATTATTTTTCCCGCTTTGATAACACTCAAATCCAATTTATAAACTAAATTTCTACTTGCAGCCACTGTTTTATTTATTTATAAATCTACGGTTCGTTCAACAATTTAAAGCCACGATGTTTCAAAGCATCTCCCCCACCGAGTGAGCTTTTTGCTGGCGGGGGGGGGGTGTTACCGTTTTGCTCCAAATATTTTGATTAAATTATCCAAATATTTTAACTGTCAACATCTGTGATCGACAGCTGAAAGAAGGCTGTTGAATTTGAGTATCAAGTGTATTCAAATTCTAAAGTCGTATTGTTAAATTTGACCTTGTTTTTGTTACGATTGAATGGACGACGTAGATTGAACCATTTTAGCCAATCAGAATCCTGCTGTTTTCAGATGTAGAACAAATCCTAACAATGACATATTTGCAAGTCACATTCTATTAACAAACTGTTTTCTTTTTATGAACACCATTCTCATCCAAAAGGCTGAGAAGCGGTATTATTCTCAAGAATTAGATGCTTTCCACAAACATTTCTGCGATGAATCGCATAGCAATATTGATCAATTCTAAGATTTTCTTTGTTGAATGTTCACGAAATAACAGAAGATTCAGGAGATAAGCATTAGATATGAACCAATTCCACACAGACACGCGCGCGCACACACACGCGCACACACGCACACACACACACACACGCACACGCACACGCACAAACACGCACACACAGACACATGTACGCACACACACGCACGCAGACAGACACATGCACACACATATATATAATAGATTTTTTTAGTCAGACATATTTTTGTTACTTCAAACATTATTTTTCGGGTATTTAAGTAGACACCTCTCTTAAATTTAAATATTATTTATTTCGTCTACCGGGCTGCAGCCTTCAGAAAACTTAATAAATATGTGCCTACCGGCAGAATTCGAGAAGTCTCACTTTGCGGTTATATATATATATATATATATATATATATATATATATTATAATTATTTTTTAAAAATATGATTCCTTCGCTACATAAGAGTTCTCATGTTTCAAAAACAGGAATCAAAAACCGTCAATATAATTATTAAAATCAAATTGAATTAAAATATCAAGCTCTGTTTTGAACCTCTAGCGAAATTTTTCGAATAACTAATCTTGAATTTACACAGCTTTATAAGCATATTCATTCATAAAATTAATTACTATGGAAAGGGGC